CCGCGGTGAAGTGCCCAATGATCTTCCAGAGGAAGTGGCGAGTAAAAGAAAAGGTCATGACAACCAGTGGATGGCAACTCTTCCTCTCCGGATTCCTGTGAGCGATCTGGAAGATCTACTGTACAACATCATGACTCTGTCCCAAAGCACACAATGCTATATTGTGTTTTATAAGATATCTCTCTTAAGTTTTGCTCCAAAATGTAATGCCCAGTGAAAAGAAATACTTTAAAATATATTTACTAATTATTTATATTTAATAATTAAATATTCGGCACCGATAGCCTTGTGGTTGGTGCGTCGACAACTGCATTTAAGAGCTGCGGATGACATGGTTATTTTAAAGTGTTAGTTCACCCACAAATTTTAATTCTGTCATTAATTACTCACCCTCGTGTCGTTCCAAACATGTAAGACCTTCGTTCATCTTCGGAACACAACTTAAGATATTTTTGATGAAATCTGAGAGCTCTGACCCTGCATAGACAGCAAGGATATTACCAAGATCAACGCACAGAAACGTAGCAAGGACATCGGTAAAATAGTCCATGTGACTAGTCCATTTTGCCAATACAATAGTCAATTTTTGTGCGCAAAGAAAACAATAATAACATAATTTATTCAACAATTCTTCTCCCTGAGTTTTCCGTCTTCCACCATTTTGGAGAGTACCCCAGAATGTAATCAACGTAATCAGCATTGTTTACGTTTAGTAAACAGCGCACGTATGCTGAACTTAAACAACGCTCATTACGTTGATTACGTTCTGGGGTAATATATGTATTATATATTATTATTTTTATATTGCTATATAGAAAATGGAATGCTGTATGTATATTTATATATATTCTGTGTTTCAGTATGTATATATACAGTGGGTACGGAAAGTATTCAGACCCCCTTCAATTTTTCACTCTTTGTTATATTGCAGCCATTTGCTAAAATCATTTATATTATATTATTACATTTTTATATATAACAGTATAATTCATATTATATTATTATAATATAAATGTATATTTTGAAATATTATATAAGCATAAAAAAGTATATTTGTATTATGTACTTAAATATACTTTATTAAGCACTGTATGCAATTAAAGAAAATTGTTCCAATTAAAATGCACAAATTAAAGTGCTTATTAGCAACCTGCTAATTCATTAGAATCATCCTTGAGCGATTGTCAAGATTCTTGTGTGGGACGTCTGCTATAAGTGATTATTAACTAATGTTTAAAATCAGACACTTATTACAGAAGGTTCCCTTCTAGTTAGTATGCTGCCTATCTAGACAGTGAGGCGACTCCCACTAGTGTTTTGAACATAGCTCATAAAAAAATATTTCAAGTTTGAATCATGTATTTCATTCATTTTGTGCAAAATTTCGGTCTATAATGTAACCTCTGACAGATGAATGAGTATTGTTTCATCATGTACACACAGAACGCAGACTGTGATGGGAGCATCTCCGGCGAGCTGAACCTGGGCGACCCGGAGAGCGGCTACCTGACACAGACCAACCTGCTGTCCATCTCCTTACGCATCAACCATGAGTGGCAGAACATCGGCATCAACCTGGGCATCAGCTACGACCAGCTGGAACGCATCCGGAACCAACACAGGTGGGCATCAGATCAGAGCCAGCAGAGGGCACTGTTAATCAGGCCCAAATGGTCAGTCTTTATTACAGGACTGATTTACTCCAGATTTTACAGCGCACATGATCTCCAGATCCCCTTAACGATTTCTGTGGCATTCAATGATGCAATCATTTCAGATTTCAAAAGGGCAGTAATAACAGGTTAGACATAAATTGTACTACCAAAATAGGTTGTTGTTTACATTTATTGCAGCTTGTAATATTTGAATATTAATTAGATTCTGTGACTGGACAGTCCAGGATTTATTATCAAGCCAGAGCAGTATGACCTCATTAATATTCATGAGCTTTTAATATCTTAAGTTCAGTTTTTCCATCACAGATGTGTTTGCGCTGGTGTAAAATCACTCATAATCATTAGAGAGAGAGAGAAGCAGTGTGAAAATGAGTGATGGAGGAAAGGAATGAAGACAGCAGTGGTTTTATGAGGGGAATGTGAGTGTTTTGTGTTGATGGCTCAGCCATCTGGGACACTGCAGGAGACGGCACACACTCACACGCATGCATGCACGCTCTGTCTGTTCTGTAGTCTGTTCGTCTTTTTGTCTTTAATGTCTCTCAACTCAAGTTAAATTTCAAATAACCTATTTTATTATGGAACAATATAGCAGTCGAATGGAAATAAATTATGAGAAAATAAGTTCTGAAATGTTGCAATCATTAAATAAAAATACAAAGCAATGCCAGTCACAAAATAAGGCAATCATTTCAGAACGAATTCATTTCAAGGCATATTTAATGCCATATTTTATGTCCGTTTTCATTATAAATTAAAACTTTTATGCCTTATTTATTTACATGCCTTATTAACTTATAATCTCATTATTCTAATACTGCCAGAAGATTCTCTTTTACTACTCCCATTATTGTTTAATGGGAATAATAGTAATAATAATACAAACAACAATAATGCTAATAATTATGTGTGTTATTTTAATATATATATCATTTTGTGTGTATATACTGTGTTATTTTAGTATTTTTGAGATACCATTAGTTTTTATTAATATTTTGTTTTAAGTTATATTTTCATATTTTCCATTTTCTTTTTAATTTTAGTTAAAAGTTTTAATAATTGTGTTGTGTGTTTTTGTCGTTAATTATTTTTAAAAATATGTATATATATAATTTATAGTATTTTTATTTCATCTTAGTTTTAGTTACTTTAATACATCAAAATGAGAAATGTTTTCTTGAAACACTGAAAATGAGAAACTATCTGAAATAAGATAAGATTTTTAAAACTTTATTTCATTTCGGTTATCAATTTTTTATTTTAAGTAACAAAAATATTTTTTTAATGATAATGACCTTGATGCAGGTTTTTTTTTTTCCGGATTACGTCAATAATCAAAGTCAATAATTTAGGAGTTAAAGGTGTTAATAAATCAATGCAAAAATGTGTTATTTAGACTCGTGTTTAATTTCATATATTTAATTATTTATTATAAATAAATATATAAATTGTTATAATATTATATTATTTATTCATTACTTTTGTTATATAATCATTATTGATCATATCATTATAGTCATATTATCTTTAATTATATAATATATTTAATTTTGTTCATTATGTCTCTTTATACTTTAATTGACAAAATGCAGACAGATCAGATAATTTTAGTAACAGTAATAGTAGCAGTAGTAGTTATAGTAATAAAAATTAAATTTCCTTTTTTCTCAGGGACTTTGGGGCCCAGGTATTGGCGATGCTCTTTCATTGGGCGAGAGCGCAGCAGGGGGCGGGGCCTGGGGCGGTGCAGCGGCTGATGAAAGCGCTGGTGGACAGTGGTAGGCGGGACTTGGCGGAGGAAGTAGAGGACGTAGTGACTCTGGGGAAGAGGAAGTATGAAGAATCACTAAAGAGAGTCGGACTGGAGACGGCAGCCAGCTCTACAGACCCTCAGTCCAGCTGACACACACTCACATTGTGCTGCCAACATCATGACATATAAACTCCCACCAGCAGCACTGCAGACCAACAGTGACACATGCAGACATACAGTACAACGTCTCGTCTCACAGGACAGTCACTGGGTCTCAGAGCAGCTGTCCGTCTGAATGATGTCTTCATTAGAAGTCTGTCTCTCTCTCCTGTGCCTCTCCAGCTCACAGTGTCCAGCAGATGTATTTTATTTGTAGTGAGACACAATGCTGCACATTTACATTGAGCCAAATTATCCATCCGTACTTGTTACATGTTCTTAGTGTTTTAACCAAGAAACAATCAAAAATATTTTTTATGTATGAGGGTGAATCCCACGCAGCCTCTCAAAAAAGGTCATATTTCATCCTAAAATCAAATAAAAAATGTGATTAATTTAACGTTAACTTATATTCAATAAATAGTTATAAATTTTGCATTAAAAAATGAAGCTATTTTGGGACAAGCACATTTTATCCCCCCTTCCTCATTTCTGAAATGTTTCCAGATGTTCCTCTTTTTTTATTTATTTTTTTTTTTAATTAAAGGCTGTGTGTGTGTGTGTGTATCTATGTATTTCCTATAATTATATATATATAATATATAAATACATAGGTACATATACACATATATTTAATTATTAAATGTAAATATATTACATATAAAATTATTATTGTATTGTGCTTATATAGCAACAATAATGTACTTTTTAATTAAAATGATAAATTAAAGGCAGTTTTGTTCACGTTGTGAAATTTTAGTAATAAAAATAAAAACCAATTCACATTAAAATATAAAAATTTGTTCTAAAATTAAAATAATAAATCATAGGAAGTGTGTATATGTATTTTATTATACATTTTTGTGGTTATGAGAGTCTGTTTCGCTATATGTAAATGAGAATTTGGGGGTAAAAAGTGCTTATTTATCATGAAATTAATGCAAAAAGGACAATGCAAAAATCCCAAGGGACACAAATAATAGGCTTAATATTTTCTTTATGCAAAATCGAAATGTAAATTAGTAGTGCAATATGACCAGGACATGTTCTCGACATTATGAACATCTGCACAGTCTAAACTACATGATTAAATGATTAAATCAGTGATATTCATTCAACTCCTGTTTTTTTTTTTTGTTAGTTTTTCTTTTACACAAAAACAGTAAGTGTGGTGTTTTCCTAAATCCAAAGGGCACTCCAACATCATCCCTGCTTGATGTAGTAGCCTTCCGTGTGTTTAGCTCAAGGTCAGCGTTGCGTCACGCCGATGACGTAAGCACGCTTTTTATTTATTTTATTTATTTATTTTTTACCTCAGAAAGGAACCCTGAGGCCGCCGTTACCGACACGCGCCAGCAGGCGGAGACCCAAACACTGCCTACCGTCCTCTCCTCCTCCTCCCGTAGTGTCGTGCTTTTACTCCCTCCTTTTCCTACAAACACACGAACGCGAGTAACACCGGCAGCTTGAACTATTATCACACACTGTCACCGGAGGAGGAACGTCACATGAAGCCATAATAATCCGGAATAACGGGACAAAACAGCAGGATCCGGTATGTACGCTTTTCTATAAGCGCTTATTTCTTAGACGAACATTTGTATCATATTAATATTCACATTCGTTTTGCATAAGGAAACTGTTCAAATATAATTACTTATGATTTGGTCGGTCACCGCATTGTGATGTAAGCAGTCAGAAACAGAAATAACGGTAACGTTACAGTGGTTCATATAACGTGATGTGGCGGAGCGTTTTCCCGTTATGTGGCAAAACGTGATTCCCCATCGCTGCGTGACGCAAGAAGGCGTTTAAAATCCAACGGGACAGATCAAACCGGCAAACGGTAACGGTAGGATTAAAACGAGAAGGCGCTTCTTTGACAGCTTCGCTTATTCTAACGGCCGCGTTCCGCGCGCGAACATCTGTTTTTCATCACACAGCGGTGCGCGTTCGGTTTTTGCACCGTTTGTCCGTTAGTCGGGTTTATTAACCGGTGGAATCCAGCCGCAGAGGCATTAAAGACGGCGTTATGTCTGAACGGATCTGCGGAGGATCATCAGCAACATCAGTCTCGTGGATTTGAACAGGATTCTCTGCAGCAGAATTATGTCATCAGACACTATCAGCGACCTCGTTCAGATGCTGCAAATATTTCGTCTTCTGTATATTTTGGCATTTATTTTCCGGTGATGAAGTAATTTCGTCCTTGGACTAAAAGCAAACGACTTTTACAAACGTGCTACAGAATCGTGGTATTTTGGACACTGAAATACCATATAAATGCCATAATATGTGACCCTGGACCACAAAATCAGTCATAAGGATCAGTTTTCTGAAATTTGCAAAGCTGAATAAATAAGCTTTCCATTGATGTATGGTTTGTTAGGATAGGACAATATTTGACTGAGATACAACTATTTGAAAATCTGGAATCTGAGGTTGCAAAAAAATCTAAATATTGCGAAAATTGCCTTTAAAATCGTCCAAATGAAGTTCTTAGCAATGCATATTACTAATCAAAAATTAAGTTTTGATATATTTACGGTAGGAAATTGACCAAATATCTTCACGGAACATGATCTTCTTTATTTAATATCCTAATGATTTTTGGCATAAAAGAAAATTCTCTTTAAAAAAGATAATTTTGACCCATACAGTGTATTGTTGGCTATTGCTACAAATATACCTGTGCTGCTTATGACTGCTTTTGTGCTCCAGGGTCACATATATGAATTTCAGTAGCCTACCATGGTGTATTAGCATTATTGTACCATAGTATATTAACATTATTGTACTATATGTTGCGAATCAGCTCATGGGGGAATATGAATAATTAATCATAACTCATCCAGTTTATTGGGTGAGGGGACTGTGACGATTTGTTAATCTAATGAATAACTGATTTGTTAAATCAAATGAAAAATTGTGTGATTGGTCCAGATGCTACATATACCTTGTTTTTTATGCTGATACTATTGTGTTCCTTACTCTGGAGTACCATGTAATACCATGGTATTGGATTATTACAATAATAATACACCATGGGATTTAAATGGTACTATATTATGCTTCAAAGAATGTTCAAAAAACATGGTAATACCATGGTACGTTCTTTGTAGGTTGCTTCATCTGGCTTGAAATCGTTGCGATATCAGCTGTGTTTCATATTGACTAATCTTTAGCTTTATAATGTGTGTCTTTCAAACACAATCTGGTCTCAGGTGAACTTTAGTGTAAGTCAAACGTCTGCTGGCAGGGCAAAGGTGGAAGATAACTATTAAGAGGAGCAGAACACCTTGCAGATAACAGATTCTTGCAAGTTGTTCTTCAGTTAGAGCCGAATGAATATTTTCACATACAGTACATCTCATTTAGATAATGGAATACATTTTAAAAGAATTAAAATATTGTTTAATTTCTATTGTTCCTAATTCCATTTAAATACTACACTGTGTTGTTCACACACACCCTTCTTAAACTCTTACCGGCTTAGTAGTGAGCACCGTGAGAGAAAGAGAGAGTGAAACAGCATACGGTCTGAACAGGCGCGCACACACACACACACACACACACACACACACTGGTGAGAGTACTGTACATCAGCTAACCAATTAACCAGCAGACAGCGAGAGCTCATGCTCTGAGTGGCTGATATTCATCTCTCTCATCTTATCGCTCCTTACTCTCAGTAAATCTGCCTTTGTGCTAGTCTACAGTCAGTCACTCATCACTGTCGGCTCATTTCTGCACACATTGATTCGGAAGGAGGGACTTTGTAGAAAACGAAGCGTTTGAGAGAGGCGGAGCATAGAGGACCTACAATAATGTACAGTATTTGAAAAATAATGTGTTTTTTGAACATTAAAGCATGTCAACATATTCTGTTACACCAAATACACCAAATAATGATCTTTAAAAAAGCATCATATGACCCCTTTAACTTTATTTCCCTTATGAAACTGATGCATTTTAGTGAATTAATTCATTTGGACTGTTCATTTCTATAAACCTGACTCGATTAACTGGTCTTTCGATTCATCACTTTCTTCTCCTTGCAGAAACCATACATGGAATAAAATGTAATAAAATATATAAAATGCATAAAAATACATTACGATTTCCACAGAAATATGAAGCAGCACAACTGTTTTCAACATTGATAATAATATGAAATATTTCTTCAGCAGCAAAATAAGCATATTAGAAACAAACAGGATCAACAAAACTGTTAACAACATAATTAACGGTAATATCCCAAATAATATTAATATTAACAATATAGTTTTAGTTCTAAACAATGTACCTTCTGAAAGTCAAATGATTTACAAATCAGTTTAAGCAAACCATTAAAAATTAGACATTAACCTCTAATTGACTATAGTCTTCAATATTTGTCCGCTCCCTGCATCTCAGTATCACTGTAATATTTACTCACTGGGATGCTGATATTTATTCATCTGGGTTTGTATGTTCTCTCAGTAGCACCTAAACACAGTGTATGTTTGTGTGCATGTGTGGTGATTATAATCAGGTAGCAGGGTTTGAAGCACAATGTAAAACCTCCTGAGATCAGAATGAAACCATGACAACAGGCCTGAGGCAGAGAGGAGTGGACCGTACAGATGTGGGGAGCTGGTACAACATCTGTTGTCAGAGTCAGATGAGCGACGGGTGCGGTTTGGTCAAAGGTGCACAGAGATTTCTATGATTCAGGAACGGACAACTGCAGCTTTCATTCAGCATGCATTCAACTGATCATGTATCATCATTTCCACAAAAATATGAGTCTGTACAACTCAACACCAACAAGAAATGTTTGAGTATATTAGAATGATTTCTGAAGGATCATGTGACACTGAAGACTGGAGTAATGATGCTGAAAATTCATCTTTGATCACAGAAATAAATTACATTTTAAAACATTCAAATAAAAACAGTTATTTTAAATTGTAATAATATTTCACATTATTACTGTTTTTAATGTATTTTTGATCAAATAAATGCAGCTTTGGTGAGCAGCAGGCTTCTTATAAAAACAAAAAATTCTTACCAACCCGAAACTTTTGAACAGTAGTGTATATATTTTCAAAATCAAATAGTGTATTTTTTTGTGTACTTCTTTCCTTTTTTGGAGCTTGATACTATAAATCAGTATCATTTTTATTCTATGGACAAGAAATGTTCTTCTAAACTCCTATTGAACGACATGAGGGATGACTATCCATTTTAGGCTGTTTTTTAGTACTTGTTGCTCTACAAGCTCTAACCATCTTAACCGAGATGATCTACCAGCTTGAAACCAGGTTCGCTCATTGGCAGAGCAGCTGATGATCTTAAATGTCGGACTAGAAACATTTTCCAGCAGGGTTTTCCAGAGAGAAGCGGTGGCGTCTGCAGAATGACTGATTTTGAAGTTCTTTGCTTCAGCAGCTGCTTGTGATCTCAGGTCAGCTTCACCTACTTTCTTCTCCTCCTCCTCCTCTCCCTCCATCTTTCCCTCCCTCCGTCTTCTCTCTCCTCCCACCCAGCTGTCTCTCATTACAGCTCCCTCTTCTCTCTCTCTTTACACTCTTACATCCTCGTTGATTCTCTGCATCCCTCCATTTGGCAGAAACGCAATATGTTGCTCACTTACAGAAAAGTACATTGTAAAATAAATGTTTTTGTTTGTTTTTGGAAATGGTCCTATGGTAATACCATAGTTTAGTTTTTTGGTGTTGGTAAGAATTACTTTTAAAGGGGTGGTTGACTGTTTTTTTTCTCTAGGCTTGATTGTGTTTAGGGGGGCAGTCTAACATGTGTTAATGCTTCGTTTTAAAAAAAACACTCTGTCCCTTCTCCTATAAACACGCTGATCATTTCCTGCTTTTATGATGCCCCTCCCTCAGAAATACGTGATGGGCTCAGATTGGTTAGCTGGCTCAGTGTGTTGTGATTCGCTAAACCGCTAGTGCGCGTCTAAACGTATTAAACGATAAATATTGCTTATCAATTTGAACCCGATTGAGACCCAGAGAATATTAGTGAAGAGCAGGGCCGCATTAATACCGCACTGGGTCCCGGGGCTATGACTTACTGCAGCCCCCCCCATCACAATAATTATATATATATATATATATATATAAAGCTTTAAATAGGATTTTTATCCCATATCAAAATTCTTGATGCTCTGAAATTTGGGCAAGACCAAAGAGCTGTCAAAGCATGTCAGAGACAAGATTGTAGATCTGCACAAGGCTTGAATGGGCTACAAGACCATCAGCGAGAAGCTTGGTGAAATACAAAACAACCATCAATCGGCCTCGGTCTAGAGCTCCGTGCAAGATCTCACCTCGTGGGGTAAGGATGATCATGAGAAAGGTGAGGGATCAGCCCAGAACTACACGGGAGGAGCTTGTTAATGATCTTAAGGCAGTTGGGACCACAGTCACCAAGCAAAACATTGGTAACACACTATGCCGCAATGGACTGAAATCCTGCAGCGCCCGTAAGGTCCCCCTGCTCAAGAAGGCACATGTACAGGCCCGTTTAAAGTTTGCCCAAAAACATCTA